CACACACACACACACACCCCCCCTCTCTGTATAGGCAAAAACCTGAATAAATGTGGTTTCCTCTAGGGATTATGCTTAGTAATGGTTGTATAATTTTTGATATACTTTTCCATGTTTTCTAAATTTCCTATTTTCTTTTTTTTCTGTCAGGTGGCTGAATTGTACTGAGTCAATCGCTAAGCAAGGATTAATTTTAAAAGGCTGCTCAAGGCTGAGGTGGTTGAAGGAGAGAGCTGTGCTTTTCTGTAAAGTCAGGGCAGAGTCAAACTGCTGTGAGATTCAAGAAGGCACCAAAGCTCCCGGCTCAAGGTAACCATTAGCCATCTCCCCCAACCCTTCCTAGCAGTGAGTCAGTGGCCTTTCCAGGAGGCGTCTGTTGGGTGTGGCTGTCTCACAGAGGGATCACCCTCACCTGCCCCCCTCCCACCAAGAGCCAGTCACCTCTGTCAGGAACACAAGGGCCGTTAAGTGATTCTTGCAGTCTGGGTCCTGGAGGAATCTGATGATGGAGCTGAAGAGGGGGCGGTTGTGCCAACAGTTATTGATGACCAGGGACCTACCAACAAGAGCACAGTGTTCAGGTAAGGCCTGGGCCGCAGGAGCAGTCCAAGTGAACGCACGGCCCTCCAGCCGCGGACCCAGGTGCAGCTCACCTGGCCAGCACAGTGACTCCGTCATAGTGTCTTTCAGGATTGACAAGAAGCCACCAGCCCCCACGTCTCTGTATAGAAGACACATAGTCCCCATACCCAGAACTTCGCATCAAGGTCTTCAGGGCCTCCACGGTAGAACTGGAGAAAGGGCCAAAAACAGATAGGAAGTCATTCAGCACCTGTGCTCCTCTCCCTCACTGGCCACCTGCCTGACTCCCAAAACTTTCTCAGGATCATGAACTGCTGGTGTGGGACAGCCCCCAGAGACCCAGGCTAATATTTTACAAGCGAAGCAACTGAGACCAAGAGAGATGTGGCATCTGCAAGGTGACACAGGGAGCCAGCAGAAGGGTGGGGAATGCAATCCAGGTCTGTGGACTCAGATGTGTGTTTTATGCACGGTATTGATCTCATTTTGGTGCAGAATCTCTGCATCAGCCTAGTAGGCCAAGTTTAAAGAAGGAGTCTTTTCTAAAAAGTCCAGATAGCTGGACTTGCACCTGTAATCCCAGCAACACAGGAGGCTGAGAGAAGAGGATGGCTTGAGCCAGGAGTTCAAGACCAGCTTGGGCAAAATAGCAAGACCCTGTCTCTAAAAAGAATAATAATAATAAAATATATTTTTTTAAAGTCCTGGGGGACTTCTTGAAATGACTCATGGGGAACATGTTAAGTGCCCTGGCAGGAGGGTGTACAAAGGGTATTCAGGCCTAGGAGGCTGACACCAAGTCAGGCGAAGGTGCTAAGCTGATGGTCCCTGGAGCATAATCACTAGCAAACACCAAAGGTACCTTATAGGGTCCACACATTTAGCTATGTGTTGCTGATCCTGGCTTATTTCAGTGTCCTCTTCAACCACCAAAAAGGAGATCTGGAACAGCAAGGCCATGAACAAGGAGGAGAAGAAGGACTGCACCTCCATCCGCCGACTGGGTTCCAGCAGGAGCTCATGGATGGCTCTGGTGGCCTGGGAGGGAGAAGAAGAGTGAGGCATTATCATATCTTCAACTCATAGGTCCCGTCACCAGGAAATCTCTTTCCACAATCCATCACCATGACAGACTTGCCCAGTAAAACCCATGCTGTTACAGCAAGTGAAGACTACATTAGTGTAAGCCAGAAAAATGAAGGGCAATTTCTAGAATGTCACTGTTCTAAAGCACTCTTCTAATCATGGTGGTTGTTTTAGTCTCTTACCATCTTTGAAAGTTAAAGAGGAACTGGGGAATTCAGTTCTTCTATCTCCCTAACAAAGCTAAGTCAACTGGAAAACCCTCCCTGTAACCCAACTCCAAGACTGCCATTAGACTGTTCTACCAAACACTGATACCTAAAAGGTCAAGGCCAAAGAGCCCAAGTCAGCTGAGGACAGGAGAGCAGGGAGTCCCCTTCCCCACCCCAGCCCCCCTCTGCTGGCCTTTCCATACAATCAGTGGTGAGATCTCTGTTCTGTGGCTGGGCTCCTGGTCCTTTGATCTCTGGTGTGGAGTCAGCCTCTGGAGCAGATAGTCCATGATCATTTCGTAGCCTTTGGGGAAGGATGCCAGGATTTCCCAGGGCCTGCAAACCCCCCTGCAGAGTCAGAAACCCATGAATGTAGCTACCCACTCCAGGTAAGCCATTCTTCACAAGTCCCACAATGCTTCCAGGGGAGGGGACTCTAGGCTCCTTTGCCCAGGCCCCTAGTTCCCCTGGTTTCTTCCTTCTTTCTTGTCTTTCTCTTCATTATCCTCTCTCTTTTTCTCCTTCTATTCCTTTCATCTTGCCATCACCTCCAGACCTCCCTGTTCTCTGTCATCTCACAGAAATCTGGAAATGTTCACTTGGTCTGTGAACCTGGTTTGAGAAAATATCTGAGGCCAAAGCTTGTTGACCACACTTGAATGTGTCAGATCAGTGAGAAGAGCCTTCTCTCTGGCCTGTCCAAGCTCTCACTACCCACCCACCCTCGGACCACTGCATCTGTCTTCCAGGCTTTCCCCTGTCATCCTTAATATCTGGCATGACCGCACCTCTCTTCAGGCCAGGTCTGATCACCAGCCCTGCACAGCACCCCCAACCTCACCCCATGCATGGACTCTCTCTCCTCTATCATTGGGCACATGCCTTTCCCTTTGCCTAGTGTGTCTCCCCTCTCACTTTTACCTGGAAAAATCACACTCAGAAGAAAAGTACATATCTGAAAAGCATTTGCTACAAATAACATAAAATTTTAAGAAAACGTGCTTAGTGTCCTCAAGAAGTCATGGCCTTTTTGAAACAGGAGGACAAAGCATTGAGGAAGTGAAGGTGAGATAAAAGGTGAAGACAGACTTTCACAGCTGGTAAACAATACACAGCATGCTCTGGGGACAAAGACAAGAGAGAAAAAATGAGTTGTCAATGAAAGAATGGCAATGAGACTGAGAGCCAACTTCCCCACAGAAACAGTGGAGAGCAGAAGACAGTGGGATAAACCTTCCAAGTGCTGAACAAAAATAAACATCAACCCCCAAGTTCCCAGCAAATCTATCATTTAATGCAGATTTGCTTTATTTAGAGATAAACAAAAATAGACGGTTTCACCAATTGCGTCTCCCTAGAGGATAAACTCCTAAATAATACCTTTAAAGGTTTTGTTTTTTCCTTCCCCTTTAGGGAAAAGAAAAATAATTTCTTAAGGAAAGTTTGAGATGCAAGGGATGGTGAGCAAATAAAATGGTAAATATGCCTATAAATCTAAACACAATATATTAGAGTAAGAATGTGCATAACAGCACTGTTAATAATAGCAAGAAGCTGGAAACAACAAACAGTCATTAAAAAAATGGATAAAACAAGTTTGTAATAATCATACAATGAGATACTATAAAACAATTAAATAAGCTTGGTCTGGCTGAGTGAGGTGGCTCACACCTGCAATTCCAGCACTTTGGGAGGCCGAGGAGGGAGGATTGCTTGAGCCCAGGAGTTCAAGACCAGCCTGGGTGACATGGCGAGACCCATCTCTACTTTAAAAATACACAAAAAAGAAAAATAAATAAATAAATAAACAAGTCTGGTCTAATAGATGACTTTGCATGCAGTAGAGAATATAAATTTATTTCAAATAGCCATTAAACATATAGTAAAATTTATAACATTAATCTTCCTGGTCTATACACACAAAAGAATCCCTCAACACATTATCAAAAGGAGAAGACATTTAGATCGTGTTCTCTAATTATCATCCAATAAAACTAGAAAAAGATGATCAAAATATCTAACCACTTAGAAATTAAAAGATTAAAGAAAGAAACCTGTATAAATTTGTATAAATATGTCATTAGATGTTGCAATGGCATTTGGTATTTCAAAGTCTATTTTTTATTTTTTCAAAAAACTCAGCAGATTTTACCATTTCTTTGCATTGAAAGCATTGAAAAGCCTCTCCTCTGACTGTTTTGTAATCTATGATACCTTACTGTTGACCACAGTCACTCTACTATGCCAGAATTTATTCTTCTACCGAATTATAACTTTGTCCAGCCAGGTGCAGTGGCTCACGCCTGTAATCCCAGCACTTTGGGAGGCCAAGGCAGGCAGATCACCTAAGTTCAGGAGTTTGAGACCAGCCTGGCCAACATGATGAAACCTCATCTCTACTGAAAATACAAAAATTAGCTGGGCATGGCGGCACACGCTTGTAATCCCAGCTCCTCGGGAGGCAGGCAAATCGCTTGAACCCGGGAGGCAGAGGTTGCAGTGAGCCGAGATCACACCACTGCACTCCAGCCTGGGCTACAGAGCAAGACTCCGTCTCAAACCACCCCCGACCCAAAAGAAAACACTCTAATTATATGATATCAACCTTTTGTTAAACAATTCCACATCAGTGAAAAGAAAAATACTCAGCAGATACAGAATAGAAAGACACTTCCTTCTCATGATAAAGGAAATTAACAACAAGCAATCCTAATTTCCCTAGTAAGAGAGTCTACGCAATCTGCTAGGACAGAGCAAGCCCACTCTAGTCTAGCTCTTGCACCAATTAAAACTAAAAACACTGGACAAATACAAAAAGCAACTACCTCCCAACACTGGAAAAACAACATTTGAGTGAGTTTCCCAGAATTCTTTTTTCTCTATTGTCTTCCAGCTTTGACTCGAAGGTGACCTAAGGGCTGAACTATGCAGCAGGCACAGGCAACAAAATCTCTGAGTTAAACTCTGTCTCTCTGGTCAGAGGACTGGGAAAATGGGTCCTTGTGAGTTGGGGAAGTATGGGTGGGATCCTTGTTTCTTTCCTTCTTTGTGTCTTTCCTCTCCCAAGCTCTGTCCTGAGAGTGACTCCAGATGCAGAGCTGCACAGTAGAAGCATTTGGGCAGCAACAAAAGCACCTAACACAGGGCACTGTGGCCCAGTGAGTGTAGGGATGGGGGAAGCGCTAGTTGTTTTTTCTTTTTTCTCTCTCTCTCTCTTTTTTCTCATTTCATCACCCTGAAGCCAGATCCAGTTGTGCAGCTGTAGCAGCACAGGCAGCTAAAACTCTAAGACACGACCGGGTGCATTGGCTCATACCCATAATCCCAACACTTTGAAAGGCCAAAGCAGGAGGATCCCTTGAGACCAGGAGTTCAAGACCAGTCTGAGTAACATAGTGAGATCCATTCTCTAATAAATGACTTTAAAAAATAGCGGGCATGGTGGCACATGCCTGTTGTCCTAGCTACTTGAGGGCTGAGGCAGGAGGATCACTTGAGCCCAGGAGTTCTAGGTTGCAGTGAGCTATGATCACGTCACTGCACTCTAGCCTGAGTAACAGAGCACAACCCTGTCTAAAAATAATAATAATAATACTTTAAGTACACATTTTAACCATGCTCCATGAGGTAAAGATGCACATAACAGAAATAAATGGAAAGGTCAGGCGTGGTGGATCACACCTGTAATCCCAGCACTTTGCGAGGCTGAGGCGGAAGATCACTTGAGCCCAGGAGTTCAAGATTAACCTGGGAAACATAGAGAAACTCTGTCTCTACAAAAAGTTAAAAAATTAGCTGGGTATGGTGCCACACCCCTGTGATCCCAGCTATTCAGAGGCTGAGATGGGAGGATAGCTTTAACCTGGGAGGTTGAGTCTGCAGTAAACTATGATCATGCCACTGCACCCTACCTCGGGCAACAGAGCAAGACTCTGTCTCAGAAAAGAACTAAAGAGAGAGAGAGAAGCAAAGAAACAAAGAAAGAAGTGGAAAGATGGATGTTCTCATGTTCTCAGCTGAGGAATAAACTATTTTTTAAAAAAACCAAATGGAAATTTTAGAACTGAAAAATACAATATCTGAAACAAAAATTCACTGGATGAGATCAAGAGGAAAATGGAGATTACAGAGAGAAAATTTCATGAACTTGCAGATGAATCAATAAAAATTATACAATTTGAAGAACTAAGAAATTAGAAAAAAATTAACAGAGCTTCAGAGACTTATAGGACACTATTTAAAAGTCGAATATTCGTGTCATTGAAATCTTATAAAAAGAAAAAGAGACTGGTACAGAAAAAAATATCTGAAGAAATAATGACCTAAAACTTCCCAAATTTGGTGAGAGACATATATTTACAGATTCAAGAAGTGCAGTGAAGTTTGAACAAGATACATCAATCACAAGACACATTGTGATTACATTAAGAGCCCACTTGAGTGATTCACAATAATCTCCCCTTCTCAAGATTCTTAGCTGAAAAAAAGCCCCTTTGCCATTGTCTCAGTTTGTATCGTGCTGCTATCACAAAATCTCATAGACTGGGTAATTTATAATGAACAGAAATTTACTGGCCAGGCACAGTGGCTCACGCCTACAATCCCAGCACTTTGGGAGGCCGAGGCAGGCAGATTACTTGAGGCCAGGAGTTTGAGACCAGCCTGGCCAACATGGCAAAACTCCATCTCTACTAAAAATACAAAAAAATTAGCTGGGTGTGGTGGCAGGCTCCTGTAATCCCAGCTACTTGGGAGGCTGAGACAGGAGAATTACTTGAACCTGGGAGGCAGAGGTTGTAGTGAGCAGAGATCGCACCATTGCACTCCAGCCTGGGGGACAAGAGTGAAACTGTCTCAAAAAAAAAAAAAGAAGGTAAAATTGAAACATTCTCATATGGAGAAAACTAAGAATTTATCACTCAAAGACATGCTCTAAATGAAACGCTAATGAAGTTATTCAAGCAGAAAAGAAATTTTATCAGAGTGAAAGTTGAAATTTTAACAATGAAGATAAAGCAACAGGAATGGCAAATATATGGGTAAATGTAACAGACCGTTTTTATCCCCTTACGTTTAAAAATATGTATGACTATTGAAAGCAAAATTAGGTGGGCAAGGTGGCTCACACCTGTAATCCCAGCACTTTGGGAGGCTGAGGCGGGCAGATAACTTGAGGTTCAAGGAGTTCGAGACCAGCCTGGCCAACATGGTGAAATCCCATCTTTACTAAAAATACAAAAATTAGCTGGGTATGCCGACGCACACCTGTAATCCCAGCTACTCGGGAGGCTGAGGCAAGAGAATCGCTTGAACCCAGGAGGCGGAGGTTGCAGTGACTGAGATCATGC